CTAGTATGCGACATCATTCTTACAATTGGAACTTTAAGTTTAAAATAGTAGCAAAAGCAGAGGCAGTGAAAAACAATCGGGAATTGCACGCCAGTACAAAATATCAGAGTCAATGGTTCACAAACGTACCTGCAGCAGTATCAATAGAATGGTTCTTTTCAGAACCACCAAGTCGAGTAAAGTCAATAATCAATATTCCCAGCCTTCTATCTATTTCTCTTGTTTTATACCAGGTTAAAATTACAAAATAGGACATTCTTGAATTTTGTTGCATGAAAATACTTGGCTATAAGACGCACCCCAAATCTGAGACAATTCAAAGGTGATAAGGCAAAATTTCTTTGAAAAAATGCTCCGCCTTATAACCGAAAAAATATGGTAACTAGGAGCACTCTTCATGCATAGGATGCTACTCAGGTACCTGTCCACTTCTTCAGGTGTCCTTAACAGTATGCTAATACCCACTAAGCTATAATGTCACACAGAAAGGCACTGTAAGAACACTAAATAAAAATTTGGCCTGCAGTGTTTTCAATAGGACTTGGCACCTGCCTGGGCTTCATCTGATATTCTGTTACAGATTCCCAGGTATACTTTGCCCTGTTTAAGTAAAATTTTCAGAACTGAAAAATAATAAACATAGAAGATACCTTTTTTGATTTCTTTCATATTTTTAAGGGTTTCTTCTTTTTTATCATCAGTTGCCATATCATCAGTTTGTGGAGACATAAGAGGATTTGATGATGATCGTCTTCTTTCAGGGGGAGGGGTGGGTGGACAGTCCAACACAACCAGATCACTATCCAAGCCTCCTTCTAACTTGATAACCACTTTGAACAACAAGAATAAGTATCAATGCATTGTTTTAACAGGTAAAAAATACCTCTCTAGGAAAAGGAAATCAATAATTAGCTTCAAAGATTGTAACATACTCAGTCAACAGTCCTTTTAGATATAAGATAATTCTTTAAAAATCTTAAATGCAAGAAACTGCAAAAATTATTACACATTTAATACTACAGCAACTAAGTAAAGGATTCAAAATGAGAAGCATTGAATGCAAATACAATTTCAGAACTAAATTTACAAGTTAACAAAAACAAAACGTAACTTATTGTTTAGTCAACAAAACTGTCAAATTATTCATAAGTATAATGGCTGAAGACAACTGGTAAATTGAATTATATTTTAACTCGTTATCAGGTTCACCACACATGTTTTAAATATACTAGTAGTATCTGTGTGAAAGAATGTTCATTTGGTATTTGTTCATATTTATTGGATTACTGTCCGTGACATTTTCCTAAGACATGATGTAGGACTTTACCTGCATCAAGAAGTTTAATGATGGCTTCAGAGTTATCAATATCCAGTGATATGTCATCGGCCCTTCCACTTTTAAGTAAGTTCAGAAATACAGAGAGGCGACGCTGCATTGATTTTTTATATTCCTTTTGCTTAAGGGCCATTTCTTTAGGATGGTATTTCATCCTAAACCTTAAATCAGTAGTAAAACAAAAGTTATATTAAGGAGGATAGAGATATTGAAGAAATTTGGGTAAAATACAAAAGGTGTGTGTGCCCCCTTACACTTACTCAGCCTTTCCTGTCCTCCCTTGAATCCAATGTCAGTGACATTTTGACTTTTGACTTCCAATAAGCCGACATTGCTATTTTTTATAGCAACTTTACAAAAACGAATGAGGTCAGATTATACATAATTGAACCTCTTCAAATGAACGAAGGGGGTTTAAACGTGGCTTCTTGATCACTGAAAGCTGCCATAAATCTTAATTCATTAACTGCAGTGTGCAGCTTTTCTAGGCTTTAAGCCTCATGCAATAAAGACCGAAGTTGATTAGGACATGAAGCACTAAGATCCCAATATGGCTTTGTTTCACATGCATGTCTCACTGAACAAGAATACAGCTTGCTGTGAAGGGAAAGGGTTGTTATGGTTAGAGATAATGAAAACAAATATATAAATTTGATACATTGAATAAAATTTATAAAAAAAAAATGTAGTAACATTCATATAAAAACCACCACATACATTCAAATAATTGTATCATCAGAAGGCAAGACAAAAGGTGTACACTACTCACACTCAGTCAGGGATTTCATTTTTACTACATACCATTCTTCCTCTTTGTGTTGCAAAAAGAAATCGTTAATTTGAGTTTTTCTGAACTCCATTTTATATTCTTGATATTTTCTAAAAGCTTCTTCATCACCAATATTGTCATCTTGAGCATTAAGGAACTGTTTAAAAGTCATCATGGCTGGGCCAGGACTTGCTTGAGGGTGTGGCTGTTGTTCAACTTCTACCCTAATATTCAATTTCAAAAAGATCACACCTGTAATCATTCAGAACCTTATAAGCCTCTTAGAAATAGGTGAAGTCTGTTGATTTTCACTTGAACAATAGCCTGTTAGAGCCTTAACCGCTTAAAATAACTTGACTCAACCTTCTCAATCAGGCAAGAGGTTTTTGCTTTTGTCAGGCAAGATTTGAACTCAATAAAAGTTTATTGGAGTCGCCCACCAGCTTCTAATGACAACTCAGTGACACGAGTCTTTTCAAGAATTTTGATGGTGAAAGGTTCAAAAGGATCATTCTCAACATAAATTTAACAAATTATTTTTTTTAATGTTTTGTCAGTTGCATATGTGCTTCAGACTGCACTAGCTAGGAATGATAGATAAATACCAAAGCTCACTTGCCACACACCACCACCAAATACACTTCATCTTTGCATTGAAAACAAATGTGGCATTTGTTTCAAAAACAATTCTGTTTCAATTCAGGTTTTCAAGAAAAACATGAAAGGAAAATGTGATGGATGATGTAGCAGGGGGGGGGCCCTCAAGCTAACGAGAGATAATTAGTATATTGTGTCTTAGATGATTTTAGTTTGCACCTTTGTTGTCTAGCATCCTGCTGCTGTGATGCTTGTAGCTGTTGAACATCTGGGTGTGACCATGTGTTATGGGTTGGAACACCACTGTAAGGTACATTGTAGTCTCCTGCCCCATGATACGGCTCATCCCTGAAAGCAACACAAATGAATTTATCAGCACTGTGATTAATGAGCATTTCTAAAGGACTGAAAATGTTTCCTTTCTTCTGTTTCTGAAGACAAATATTTTATACTTACACAACATTGTTAATTTTAGAGTTTCGAAAGTGAATCATTTCAAATTTTATACAATGAACACACGAGAAACCTTGTACATCTAAATTTTAAGGATTTGAGGTTTCTACCACAATCACATTATTTAATACACTAAATGGATGACTTTGTTTGGACAGGAAATGTAGAGAAATAGGGTAAATTGACACCACTGTAACCAGTTCAATTAAAAGTTAAAGTTGCGAGTCATGGAATTATTTCAAGCCTTAAGCCTTCAAGTTATTTGACAATAGACCTTATCACAGCTTTTAACACCATCTTAATGGGTAGGGAAATATAAAATGTTCACATCAATGTCCAGCTTTGAATGACTTTACAATAATCAAAACAATTTCATCAACTATAAAATTTACTCATTAGCCTCATGATTTCACACCATGGACTCGAGGGATATGCCTTCCCTAGGAATTTCCCAGTTTTGTTTTTCACACCAACATGGTTGCCACAGTCATGGGTTCTTTAAATTCCCTGGCTTTTCCCTAACCAACCAAATACACAACTTCACAAATGAGTCTCTACGACTACCTCCACCTCCCCTAACAGCCATCCTTCCCACATGTAAATTTATCCTTTCAGCAAGTCACTGTGTACATAAATTGATAACTGCTGAAGTTCTCTTGGAAAAAGAATTGATTTTCTTCAAAACCTAACATCGGTTTAGTGTTCAATGTTACTACACAATATTCCCCAATTCAACGCTATTTGTGTCTGTAAACTGTACCAAAGATGCAGTGTTAGAAAAAATTAAAACATCCCATGGAAGGAAAAGAAAATTTGTGTTATCATTCACAAACCAACTTGAAGTGGAGAACAATGGTACAGCATTTGCTGGTCAGAATCTGTAACCTGTACTGTACAATGAACATGAGTAACTTCAACATCACAAAGAGGAAACTGTTTACATATTTCAGAGGGCTTTGACAAGATTAGATAAACAACTTCATATTTACTTTAAATTTCTCATTTCCCTGACTTATTTCAAATATGTAACTTTTCTCTGACTCAAAGTGAAATTCCCTGACCATGGAGAAACTTTTCCCCGACCTGTGGCAACCATGTTCATTCGTTTTTTAGCTTTTCTCGTACTCACACACATTAAAATTTGCTCACAACTATCTGGAAAAGAAATGATATGTAAGTCCACCGAGATGAGCTTGATGGAGATAATTCACACGAAGTTTGCCAGTCGGATCCTTCAGCTGGCATTTGAATTTATTTAATTTCTGAAGCTTCAACGCTTAAATGACATCATTTAACGTTGGAGCTCCTCCAAAACATTGCGATTTCAAATGAATAACGAAGATGGCGACAAAGACGGTATCGGTGTGGTCTTTTTCTAAGTGATATTGGTAATTTTAAGGATCAAAGACATGTTTTTATTAAATTACCAATCTCTTCTAACTCTTTTTATGGGAGGACTCATTTCTTGGTGTCTCCCAGAGCTATCTCTTCTTCCTCGATCAAATTCTCTATACTCTCCTCGCCGTCTACTTTCCCAAGATGGTTCACGGCGTCTGTCGGACCACTCATCTCGACGTGAAGATCTCTCTTCACGGTCGCGTCTTCGATCGTTATAATCACTTCTTTCTCTACGAAATTTATCTCGAGCCCGTCTCCTGTCGTGTTCGTCGTCACTGTCCCCCATAATGGCTCCCCTTCAGTAAAATGCTGAGAGAAGGAATTCTTGACCTGCAACAAAGAAGAATAAAGACTGCGAGCATGTGGAGGCCTTAGAGGGTTCAACAACCAGAATGCTTTTCGAGTTTGGTAGGCCCAGTCTTTAACTCCATCTCCGAAATCAGTAATATGGCTTCCTCTGCACGTGTCGTTTGTTGGCAAAACCGTGAGGAATGGCTCTATGTTTACAGAACTTTATACAATTTCGACGATCCAGAGGGTCAGAAAAGAGGAATAGATCGCGTGGCTGCCTGGAAAAGCCGCAGTATGGGTAAACTTCCCCTTGCTATCGAATGCACAGTAAATCTCATTTCAGCTCATTTGATATCCACATGCAACACTCATGATCAAGGCCGGTTGACTCTTGCGATGGCGATAGTACGCTTCGTAAATGGAATGGTTGATTTGGATCAGAAAGGAAAGTTTGCCCGCTCAGTGCAAACAATTGCAGAGGAAATAGGTTTACCTAAATGGCTGGTTGATATACGGCACGAGTCCGCACATCAAAATTTGCCTTCCTTAGAAACTCTCCGTTGTGGCGTACGAGCAAGCTTGTCATGGTTGCAGTATGAATACTGGGAAGCACAGCTTAAAATTCACGATGGGAACATAAAAAGATTAATAGAGCTACTCGAAAAGTACAGGGAACTAACCTTAAGACCTAGTGTCAAGAGTAAAAAGAAGGCGAAGAGCAAGACTGACAACAAACTAACACAACTGTCAAACTCCATAGCTGACACGGTATCTAGGAGCAATCTTTGGTAAGAAGCGTAATTTGAAAAGAAGAGATGGCTGAAAGGCCAGATTTTGTTTGTCTTCTTTTTAACTTTATGTTATGTTGTCAATCACCAGCAGAGTGGGTTTTGTGAGAAATGATTTACTCCTCACCTCCCCACCCAACAAAGTAGAAGTTCCCCATCAATGGCAGGGCCCCTTTCTGAACATCAATCTGATCTTCTTTTGTTTTTGCAAATGTTCTGAAAACAGATCTGGTCAGCAACCCAAAAAATTCCATTTTCCACTTAAAATAATCAAACTAACCTAAACTGGGTATATTTCTTGCCTTCTTCAGGATATACCATAATTCCTTGAACAAACCCATACCTTCTAATGAGCACCTTTGCCTGAATAAATACCTACCCCCCTAGGCTATAATGGCAAACAGGTGCCCCTCTTGAATAGGCAACCTACCCTCTTCCCTCACTTTCTTAGATGGTAGGAATACAAGAAAAATGTGATTCTATTGCCACTTCATTTACAACTTTTTAAGCCTACAGTGCAGTCTGTACAGAAGAATAATTTGTTTCCATTCCAGTTATCACTATCTCCATGTGCTTGCAGAGTTTCTTTATGTGCCTCATTTCTTCTTTACATTTTGCCTCTATTGCAGGGCTAATTTAATGATAATTCCATTTCTGTTGCTCCTGTGGCTGATTTTTGTTCTTTTTATTGTTCTCATCAAGTTCTTCTCTATAAACAAAGCTGTAATATGTGTTTCACCTATCAGTCATTCAAATTGCCAAAGTATGTACAACGACACTGTAGTGCCACCTGGATTATTCTTGAGACAGGGATAAAGTAACATGCCAACTTTCATTTTTCATTCCAAGAGAAAATTCCCTCCTTGACAGCTATGTTAACCTTATACTTGCATTCTCTGATACTTGCATCTTTATGGAAAGTAAATCACTTCAGGTTTAACAATTTTTTTTCCAGGTCTCTTTTGCCAAGTCTTCTGTTCCAGAAGGGCATGTTAGTCCCTTCTTGTGAGCACATAAGTTTATCAAGTATAAATCAATCAACTAAAGATGGCCTCTTTGCAGATTTAAAGACCTCGGAAGTCATAGGAGAGATATTTAAGATTTGGAAACCATTGATAGAAGCACTTGATAAATTGTCTCCAGAATTTTTAATGTCTACAATACATTATCTCCTTGTGGGAGACCAGTCTGCCATCACAGATAAAGAGAAAGACCTATCTCCTTATTTTACTGAATGGGTGAAACATTTCCTACTGTTGATGTCAAAAGAAAAGTGTTGTGAGGTTCCCTTGATGAACATTCTAAAAATTGCCCTGGAAAATCCAACACAGTCTTATTTGACAATTATTTCCAAAATATTGGAAAAAATGCACTTGATTGATTCTAGCTTGAAACATAAAGTACTGCATCTTGTTGAAGTTTTTCTTGAGCAACCCCTTTCAGAATGTTGTTGTGTTAATGATATGGAAGAATTTCAAGAATCAAATCTGGAAGAGTGGATGGCAAGGAGAAGCAAAATCTGCACTAAAACTGCACTTCAACAAGATGAGGGAGCTCCTCAATGGCAACAAGGCAGTCAGCAGGATTCAACTTTGTGGCACTTCATTCCGTTTGGAGAAGTTCTTGGAGCTGATTTTGAGTTAGAGTTATCAGTGTGACTTTGATAGTTTCATTCATGACACTTTTAAAGGATTTAAAAAAGAGGGTAAAGGATTTGCTGTAAGGAGGGGCATGGCAAGTTTGATGAATTTTTGTTCTTAAGACTTATTTTCGATTCTAAACTTGATAAAAAAAAAA